TGCTGCCGGGTCTCTGTCGATGGGGAAACTGTGTTCCGAGCACGCACCGCACAGCTGTTTGCCTGCTTCACCGCGGACTGCGTGGCTGCGGAGCTGCCGTTTTGCCACCGGGGCTCTGGCTGTCCTCACCTCTTCCAAACGGTCTCCCTCTCCTGTATCACTCAGGCGGTTTTCTCAACCTTGCCTTGTTCAGGGCTTGCAGATATTCAATCAAACCACTTGTTTTTCCAGGTCTTTGTTGCAAGAGGGATATAGGAAGCGTCTAACTACTCCGCCATGTTGACCACGCCTCTCTATTTCCAGGTTTCTAAGGAAGCACCGTATCATTTTCCAAAATGGTTGTACCATTTTGCATTCCCACCAGCAATGCATAAGAGTTCCAATCTCCACGCAGCCTCTCCAGCATATGTTATTTTCTGTTTTTTTGATTCGTGCCAGTAATGCCGGGGTAAGATGATATCTCATTGTGGTTTTGATTTGCATTTTCCTAATGGCTAGTGATCATGAGCATTTCCTCATATGTCTTTTAGCCACATGAATGTCTTCATTTGTGAAGTGTCTGTTCATTTCCTTTGCCCGTTTTTTAATTGGATTATTTGTCTTTTTGTTGTAGAGGTGTTGGATTTTCCTGTAGATTTTAGAGATTAGACCCTTGTTGGATTTGTTATAGCCAAAATTTTTTCCCAATCTGTAGGTTCTCTTTTTACTCTTTTGGTGAAGTCTTTTGATGAGCATAAGTGTTTAATTTTTATAAGATCCCAGTTATCTAGCTTATCTTCTGGAGTTTGTATGTTGTTGGTTATGGTTTGTATCCTGTTAATGCTGTGTGTCAGGGTCTCCAGCGTTGATCCTATTTTTTCTGCTGTGATCTTTATAGTTTTTGGTTTTAGACTTAGGTCTTTGATCCATTTTGAATTAGTTTTTGTGTATGGTGTGAGGTATGGGTCCTGTTTCATTTTTTTGTAGATGGACATCCGGCTTTGCCAGCACCATTTGTTAAAAAGAATGTCTTTTCTCCATTTGATGGCCTGTAGGCCCTTGTCAAAGATCAGGTGACCATAGGTGGATGGATGTACATCTGGGTTCTCAGTTCTGTTCCATTGGTCACTCTACCTGTCATTGTACCAGTACCAGGCTGTTTTGAATACCGTAACTGTATAGTAGGTTCTGAGGTCAAGTAGTGTGAGTCTTCCTACTCTATTCTTCCTCTTCAGTAATGCTTTACTTGTCCGGGGCCTCTTCCCTTTCCATGTAAAGTTAATGGTTAGTTTTTCCATCTCTTTAAAGAATGTTGTTGGTATATGGATCTGGATTGCATTGTATTTGTAGATTGCTTTAGGTAGAATTGTCGTTTTTACAATGCTGAGTCTACCTATCCATGAGCATAGTGTGTTTTTCCATTCATGTAGATCTCTTTGTTTGTTACAGTAATGTTTTGTAGTTTTCTTTGTATAGTTCTTTTATATTTAGATTTATGGTTAGATTTATTCCTAAGGTAGTTTATCTTTTTTAGGGACTATTATAAATGGTGTTGGTTTCCTGATTTCCATTTTGTTGTTCTCTTTGTTGGTGTATAGGAATCCAACTGATTTTTGTGGCTTTATCTTGTATCCTGCTTCTCTGCTGAATCTATTAGTTCCAGTGGTTTTCTCATGGAATATTTAGGATTTTCTATGTATAGGATCATATCATCTGCAAATAGGGACAGTTTTACTTCTTCATTACCAACTTGGATGCCCTTTATCTTCCTTGCTTTATTGCTCTAGCTAGGCCTTCCAGCACAATGTTAAATAGGTGTGGTGATAAAGGGCATCTTTGTCTCGTTCCTGTTCTCAAGGGGAATGTTTTCAGCCTCTCTCCATTAAGAATGATGTTGGCCATTGGTTTTGCCTAGATGCCCTTTATTATGTTGAGGAATTTCCCTTCTATACCTATTTTATTGAGTGTCTTTATCAGGAATGAGTGTTGGACTTTGTCGAATGCCTTTTCTGCGTCGATTGAGACGATCATGTGATTCTTTTCCTTTATTTTATTTATGTGGTGGATTATGTTGATTTATTTTCTAATGTTGAACCGTCCTTGCATACCTAGTATGAATCCTGCCTGGTTGTAGTGTAGTATTTTTTTGATATGATGCTGAATTCTATTGGCGAGAATTTTGTTGAGAATTTTTGAGAGATATTGGTCTGTAATTTTCTTTTTTTGTTGCATCTTTGCCTGGTTTTGGAGTCAGGGTTATTTTGGCTTCATAGAATGAATTTGGTAGTATCCATTCCTTTTCTGTGTTCTGAAATAATTTGAGTAGTACTGGTGTAAGCTCTTCTCTGAATGTTTGGTAGAATTCTCCAGTGAAGTCATCTGGGCCAGGACATTTTTGCTGGGAGTTTTTTTTTTATTATATTTTCAATCTCTTCTCTTGTTATTGGTCTGTTCAGATTTTGAACATCAATTTGTGATAGTTTGGGTAGGTAGTGTGTTTCTAGAAATTTATCCATTTCCTCTAGATTTTCAAATTTGTTGGAGTATAGTGTTTCATAATACTCTGTTATGATCCTTTTTATTTCAGTTGAATATGTTGTAATGTCCCCCATTTCATTTCTTTTTTGGGTTATTTGCACCCTCTCCTGTTTTTCTTTTGTCATTTTGGCTAGTGATTTGTTGATTTTGTTGTTCTTTCAGAGAAGCAACTTTTGGTTTTGTTGATTCTTTCTATTGTTTTTCTATTCTCTATTTAGTTTATTTCTGCTCTGATATCTATTATTTCCTTTCTTTTGTTGGCCATAGGTTTTTTTTGCTGTTCTGTTTCTATTTGTTTGAGTTGTGTAGCTAATGTTTTGATTCTTTCCATTCTTTTTTGATGTGTGCATCTATTGCTATAAATTGACCTCTGATCACTGCCTTTGCTGTGTCCCAGAGGTTTTGGTATGATGTACTTTCATTCTCATTAGAGTCTAAGCATTTTTTTTATTCCATTTTTCTATTACCCAGTGGTTCTTAAAGCAGGGTGTTACTCAGTTTCCATGTAATTATTTATTTTTACTTTCTCTTCCCATTGTTAATTTCTACTTGGTGGCGTTGTGATCAGAAAAGATACTTTGTATTATCTCAGTGTTTTGAATTTTGTTGAGGGACCTTTTTTTCTTATTTACTAGTTTTCAGAATGATGAGTTGGTTCCTTAGCATCCTCCAAAGCTAAGCAAATGAGGGTTTTTCTTTTTTTTTTGAAGTATCCGTTATGGACTCACATATTTTAAAAATATTTGATGTTTCAATACATTGTCATTTTTTCTTTTGATTTCAAATAATCCCACCTTTGGCTAGGGGAAGTTCTTGAAGGGCCTCCGTGTTTTATTAACATGGCCCTACTAATCCGTCATAGAGTCTTTGCTTTCTAGTGTAAACTATTTCATACTCATTTTGTGCATATATAGCCTCATTCGTGCAACCAGTAATTTCTCCAAGGAGCCCTATTTACTTTTAGTGTGAATTAGTGTTTAGAGACCACAGTCTGGATGCTAGGGAGCTCATTATCCCTGGGTTGGTCATTATTGCTAGATTTTTTTCAGTGGACAGAGCTAGGAAATGCATACATATGCAAATATATACATGCATATGTATTCTTAAGAGAAAATAATAGCATCAGTTCATACTGATATGCCTATTCAGATTCAGAATTACTACATTTTTAGTTAACTTTAGGTTTATATTTGTAACTCTTGCTAAACTAGAAATCTTTGTTCCTAATATTAACATAATTACTTATTACTTTATTTTGCTGTATCCATCTATCTATAGTTTCAAAATAACAATATGCTATCAAAGTAAGAACACCAATATTACTAAAAACATGATAACTAAAATCCATTTAAAATCTTTTTGTGGATCTTTTTGTCCTTAGTTTAATCCCATTAGATTTGTTTTCAATTATTTAACTATTATTAATTATTAAATAATTAAATGTGCAGTCAAATTATAGAGTTTTAAGGCGCTTGAAATAATTGCCCTCTGATGGTTAAGCTACCAACCTGCTGCATAGTTAAATCCCTTTGTTTCGTTTTTACATTTAATTTCTAGGATTTTTTTTTTTAATTTAATTTTGCTTTATAATTATGTATGATTTCAAACTCAGCCTGTATCCTTCATTCCTTTATAGGCAACTATTGTGTTGAGTATATTTTAGCAGCATAGTTTCCTTTCTTTAACTTTTAAAATTTATATTATAGGTCAGTACTGCTGTTTCCCATCAACACATGTTAATTATACCTGTACAGCCATTTAAAATCACATAGGGCAATGTAATGCAGTGGATATAACAGTGATAGGGAATGAAGGGGTCCCAGAATTCTGAGCTGTGCTCCAATCCCATTTGGAAATGACATAGGGGTAGGTGAAGATGTTCTATGGAATGTGCTGTGTCAAAGAGGTGCCAGCTTGCTTGGCTTCTTGTTCAATATCCCATCTACAACCCAAGGTGGGGAATGTCTGCTTTGTGTATTGTGCAGGAAGATGTATATAACATATTGAAGTAGACTTTTAAGTTATATATTCATTTTGCTATCATGTGACATATGTGTTCCTAAAAATCACTGCACTATGCAGAATTGTATAATAAAGACCACAGAGCTTATATGAGAAACAGGATTTAGGGGCACGATACTTAAAAACTTTGCCAGTGATACATTAAAAGGAACCTGATGAAAACAGTAGGAAATGTCAATGGTAAAGAAATACATAAATATTACAATAAATATTATACTTTACTTTGAAAACTATCTAAAGTTTGCTTATAGAAGTGGGCATCAAAAGGGATACAGCTTGTGAGTTCAACTGGGTGCAGTTTTCTGTGTTCACCTGTGGTTTCTCATGGACAAAGTCACAACAAAAGCAAATGCTAAGTTTGTGTTGTACTCAAATTATTCACTAATAGTCATATTGGAACAAATTTGTATTTTTAAAATAAGCATTGTAACAGAACTGACTGTATTTTCTTTCTCCTTTAGATGATATGCCAGTAGGAACTGCTGGCAGATGTGCTTCCCATGAGTTCTTGGTGTATGGAGGGTATGTTTACATAAATTTACTAATTTTGCTAGTAAGGTTATAGAACTTTGTGTTCTTGAGCCTAAGATTTATTTTGTTTCCTGTTTCACAACGTATTATTTCCTTTTGATTATGAAATATTTTAAGCAACGTATAGAGAAAAGTATGAAGAAGAATATAATGATTACCTGGACAGTCATCCTTCTACCATGTTAGGTCCTAACATTTTGCCTTATTAACATTTTTTTAAAAGAAATATCAGCTCAATCGAAGCCATGTATATATATGCGTGTGTGTGTGTGTGTGTGTGTGTGTGTGTGTGTGTGTATGTATATATATTATCCATAAGCAGTAAGTACTATTTTTTTTTGCATGTTTTATGTAAGTGGCATGGAGCCCTGGTGGCGCAGTGCTTAAGAGCTCGGCTGCTAACCAAAAGATCAGCAGTTTGAATCCACCAGCTGCTTCTTGGAAACCCTATGGAGCAGTTCTACTCAGACCTATAGGGTCACTGTGACCCTATGTGTTATTTTTTTCATATGTTGCTGAATTCTGTTGGCTAGAATTTTGTTGAGGAGTTTTGCATCAGTGTTCATGAGGAATATTGGTCTGTAATTTTCTTTTTTTGTGGTGTCTTTACCTGGTTTTGTTATCAGTGTTATGCTGGCTTCATAGAATGAGTTTGGGAGTATTCCATCCTTTTCTGTGCTCTGAAATACCTTTAACAGTAGTAGTGTTAACTCTTCTCTGAAAGTTTGGTAGAATTCTACAGTGAAACCATCCGGGCCAGGAATTGACTCGGAATTGACTCGGTGGCAGCAGGTGTGGTTTTAGTTTATATAAGTGACATAATATTATACGTATTATTTTCCAAAAATGTTTTTCACTCAATAAGGAAGAGTTAAAAGGCTAAACTGAGATTTTAAATGTTCTGGGCTGCAGTGGTGAAGAAAGTAAGAGAAAGCGGACCTGGGAGATATATGAATACAATAAGATACAGGCTTTCTCTAACTTTTTTTGTTTAATTTTTTATTTTGTCTTGGTACCAGAGATACTTGTGAAAAGTTGTGTACTAGTCAGTTTTTGATAGGTTAATACTGTGGTAACTCCCACCAACAGAGTATAAGTGTTCCAGTCTCTCCACAACCTCTCCAACATTTATTATTTTTGTGTTTTTTGGATTACTGCTAGCCTTGTTGGAGTGAGATGGTATCTCATGGTGGTTTTGATTTGCATTTCTCTAATGGCTAATGATCGTGAGCATTTTCTCACGTGTTTGTTAGCTGCCTGAATGTCTTCTTTGGTGAAGTGCCTGTTCATATCCTTTGCCCTTTTTTTAATAGGGTTATTTGTCTTTTTGTTTTTGAGGTTTTGCAGTATCTTGTAGATTTTAGAGATTAGACGCCGATCAGATTTGTCATAGCCAAAAATTTTTCCCCAGTCTGTATGTTGTCTTTTAACACTTTTGCTGAAGTCTTTTGGATGAGCATAAGTGTTTAATTTTTAGGAGCTCCCAGTTACCTAGTCTCTCTTCTGGTATTTGTGCATTGTTACTTATGGTTTGTATTCTGTTCATGCCACGTATTAGGGCTCCTCACGTTGTCCCTATTTTTTCTTCCATGATCTTTATCGTTTTTGATTTTATATTTAAGTCTTTGATCCATTTTGAGTTCGTTTTTGTGCGGGGTGTGAGGTATGGGTGTTTCAGTTTCTTGCAGATAGATATCCAGTTATGCCAGCACCATTTGTTAAAGACACTGTCTTTTCCCCAGGTAACAGACTTTGGGCCTTTGTCAAATATCAGCTGCTGTAGGTGGATAAATTTATGTCTGGATTCTCAATTCTGTTCCATTGGTCTATGTATCTGTTGTTGTACCAGTACCAGGCTATTTTGACTACTGTGACTGTATAATAGGTTCTAAAATCAGGTTGTGTGAGGCCTCTCACTTTGTTCTTCTTGAGTAATGTTTTACTTATCTGGAGCCTCTTCCTTTTCCGTATGAAGTCGGTGATCTGTTTCGCCATCTCCTTAAAAAATCCCATTGGAGTTTGGATCGGGATCGCTTTGTATCTGTAGATCGCTTTGGGTAGAATTGACATTTTCACAGTGTTGAGTCTTCGTATCTATGAGCAAGGTATGTTTTTCCACTTATGCAGGTCTCTTTTGGTTTCTTGCAGTAGTGTCTTGTAGTTTTCATTGTATGGGTCTTTTATGTCTCTGGTTAGATTTATTCCTGAGTTTTTTATCTTCCTGGGGACTGTTGTAAATGGTATTGATTTGATGATTTCCTCTTCAAAGTTCTCTTTGCTGGTGTAGAGGAATCCAACTAATTTCGGTATGTTTATCTTGTATCCTGCTACTTTGCTGAAATCTTCTATTCCAGTAGTTTTCTTGTCAATTCTTTGGGGTTTTCTGTGTGTAAGATCATATTGTCTGCAAATAGCGATACTTTTACTTATTCCTTACCAATTTGGATGCCGCTTATTTCGTTTTCTAGCCTAATTGCTCTGGCTAGGACCTCTAGCACGATGTTGAATAAGAGTGGTGATTAAGGGCATCCTTGTGGTTCCCATTCTCAAGGGGAATGCTTTAAAACTCTTTCCATTTAGGATGATGTTGGCTGTTGACTGTGTGTAAATGTCCTTAATTATGTTGAGGAATTTCCCTTCTATTCCTCTTTCTTTTAGAGTTTTTATCATGAATTGGTGTTGGACTTTGTCAAATGCCTTTTTTTGCATCAGGTGGTTCTTGTCTTTTGTTTTATTAATGTGGTGGATTACACTGATTATTTTTCTAATGTTGAACCATCCCTGCATACTGGGTATAAATCCCAGTTGATCATGGTGAGTTATTTTTTTCATATGTTGCTGAATTCTGTTGGCTAGAATTTTGTTGAGGAGTTTTGCATCAGTGTTCATGAGGAATATTGGTCTGTAATTTTC